CTTGAAAACTCAACCTCCTTTGCCGTTTCTGTTATTTATAGCTTTTTGAATTTTCAGAATCCTGTCCTCATACCAAGGTTTGTGTTTGGATTCTACATATAATCAAGACTATACATTTTCTATCAAAATTTACATGTCCTTCACAGTATCAGTTTTAGGCTACCATTAGGCTAAAAGCTGTCAAAATGAGTAATTCATTTTGTGATGTTCACTCTTTCCAACGATCTGCTGTTCTCCAGAATCTACCAGCTTTAGTTGATTCTTTAGTGCCTTCAAGTCATCATTATTTTGTCCAGAGTTTATAGCTGTTTTCTGTAAGATGATCAAGCCTGTAGGAGCTATTCAGCCACAGTGAAAGCGGAAATTGTCTTCCCAATTGAATTTTTTCTTTTAACTTCTGGGGTTTCTATTAAAATCTTGGTATAAATAAAAACCAACCAACTCTAATCACATTCTGAGTGCCACACTCTTTACATGTGGAAGCCCAGCCTTGACCTTATGATTGTACTCAGTTGATGTAGGAGAATCCATTTGTACAAAGGGAAGACTCATGACTTTTAGGCTCACAAGTAATTTTTAGAAATATTACAATCTTTCATTATTCACACACAACTAGATAATAATAATAGCTCTTTAATAGGCAGCTTGATTAATAGGAAAAATACAGACCAAAGTTACATCTTTGTTCAAACTTATTCAAGTTTTATAACCCTACACAAGTCACTTGTCCACTCTGAGCCTCCATTTCTTAATATCACTTTCAATAGCCATGATACAACATACTTCTCTGGGTTAATTGTTGTTGAGTACCATTGAGTCAGAACTGATTCATAGCTGACCCTCTAGCATGTTTTCAGAGACAGTAAATTGCATAGGAGGTGATTGCCCCTCTTTCCTCTATGGAGTAGCTGATGGCTTTGAGCCGTGCACCTTTGACTGGCAGCACAATTCCTTATCACTAGGTTACCAGAGTGCCCTCTGGGTTAATAGAAGATTTAAATGAAAAAGTGCAACAAGTTTTGACTGGGAAAGTCCTTGATTATTACTATGATCCCTATGTAATAATGATGAATCCCTCTTGCATTAAAAAAATCTCCCAGTACTTAGAAAATACTATTACCAGTCAAATAAAGACATTCTTATGATAGTGGGCCTTTAGAAGAATAGTTAAAGGCTGGTGTCTCCCTTCTTTGTTACATTCTATCTACCTTTAATTGTGATAACTGTATATGGAACAATATTTGTCATTTTAGCATTTTAACATATGCAGTAGAATGGCATTAATATTGCACCATAAACTACAGGGGAAATTACAAATGTTATTGTGTTTTTGCTTGGTCTTTGTTTTTCTGTTTTCCCTTCCAAAGCCATATGGGAGAAAGTGTCTTGATTTCACAGATTAGCTTTTAATTCTGAAAATCAGGATAAAGTGCATGATTTACATTGCCTGTCCCATCTTGAAACCTTGTTTCCCATCTATGTGGAAACAGGTTTAAAGGAGAGAACCTGGAGGATAGGCTTAGGGAAAAGTTGGAGTGTGTGTTTGTGTGTACAAGCCTCATATCTTGGCTTGTAAGGGGAGCTGGGAGAAAGATAGAAAGGAAAAAAGAAAAGCACAGCATACACTGAAGCTAGTTACCATTCTTCAGCTCGAGGACAGGGTCTAGGGTTGGGCTGCTGATAGAAGGAAAGGACTTTAGTATGATGAATAAAAGCACTGGTTTTCATTTTTTCTGCATTTCCCTGGCAGATTTATTTAGGTCAAGTCCCTCTGGGGAAGACTGTGGCCTCCATATATTTGCCTAAATCACTGAGGGAGAAAATTCCTCTTAACAATTTACATACCATCTTGTTTAATTTCTTTGGCCAAACATCACTTTTCAAGGTAAGTCCTGGTATCCAGTAACTACCATGCAGTGGCATACAGTGACTCATTGCGTTTATGAACTCTTGCTATTTCCGTGGTGTTCTGTTTATTTTAGAATGTCCTTTAAAATTTATTCTACAAATCTTCCAGTCTAACCCCTGGCCCTCAATATGAATCAACATCGACCTTAATGATGTTCTAGTTTCAAATTTTCACAGCTTCTCATCTTTGGAAAAGACCTTAAAGATCATATGGTGACCAAACACAGACCACAGGATGGTTTAGAGCCAGAAAAGAACAGCGAGTTCTCCTGCTGGAAGGCTGTTTTAGCTTGCCGGTGCTTTCCCCAACCCCCACCCAGAATCTCCCCTCATTTCTCAAAGCTAACGTACATATGCTTTATGGCCAAACATATTTGAAATTGAGTGGTATCCCAAAGGGCATCTGTCTGCAAGCATTTGCTAATCCTTCCCACAGAACCTTCTCTGTGGGTTCCACTCTTCACTCATGATTTTTTTTCCAAAAAGGTACGATAGTGTGGTGGTAAGAGCATGGACCCTGGGGCCAAACTGGCAGAGTTTAAAGCTTGGCTAAACCATTTTGTATCTGTGAGACTTTGGGCAAGTTACTTAATCTTTACATGCCTCGATTTCTTTCTCTGTAAAAGAGAGTAATCAAAGTACCTCATAGGTTTCTAATGGAGTTCTGGGGTGGTGTAAGCAGTTAAGCACTTGATTGGTTGTTAACTGGAATGTTGGAGGTTCAGGTCTACCTAGAGGTGACTCAGAAAATTGAGCAATTTATGATGGACAGGTCTAGTCTGTAGCATATCACAGGTCTCCATGGGCTTGAATTAGCTCAGTGACAATTGATTTGGTTTATTTGATATAAGCATGTTAAAAGCTTATGGTGGTTAACACATAGAAAGCATTTAGAATATTGTCTGTAGCATAATAAGTACCATATAAGTTTTTAACTTGCTTTTATTATTTATTATCTTGGCTTTCCATGACTCTATGGTGATTTGAGTGTTGCTGTGATTCTGGAAGGAATGCCACTGGTATTTCAAATATTAGTAGGCTATCCACTGAGGACAGGTTTCAGTGGAGCTTCTAGACTAAAATTCAGAAGGATTGGCAATCAGCTTCTTCTAGAAATAGAAATAACTGGCTGTGAGAACCTTATGAATAGCAGCAGAACAATGAGCCTCTCAGTGAGAAGACACTCAAAATATGACCAAGGAAGAGCTAACTCCTCAAAGTACAGTTGACTTTATTGATGTGGATGGAGTAAAGCTCTTGGGACTTCCCTTGCAGTTATGGACTCTTTTGAGTTGTGCTGATGTGGCACAACTCACAATAAGAAGAAACAGTTTCAAGCACCTATTAATAATCCCACTGTGGAATTTTAGGAAACATGTATCTGGAAGAATTATAAGTTCTCAAAACTTAAATAGAACTTGGAAAAAAGTCAATATTCTAGGCATTAGTGAGCTTAAATGGGCTGATATTGACCATTTTGAATTGGACAATCATATAGTCAATGTGGCTTAGTTGTTGCTGTTATGTGCCACCAAGCCTGAATCAACCCATAGCTGACCCTCCAGTGGGTTGTCAGAGGCAGTAAATCACACGACAGGAGATTGCCCATCCTTAGCCTGAAAAGAAGCTAGTGGATTTGAACTACATGTCTTGGGAATTGCAGCACAGCTTCTTAGCACTAGGAATAATCATATGGTAAATGTAGCTTGTTGTTATGTGCCATCAAGTCACCCACGACTCAGAAGACTTCCCCAATGCAGTTCACCATTTGATTTCCTGACTGCTGGTACTTAGTGGTATGAAATTGCACTGCCAACCCAAAGGTATGCAGTTTTAACCTACCAGCTACTCCATGGGGAAAAAGATGGGCATAGGTGTGGCTTTGGTCTTTAATGACATGTGGCTGATTCCAAGCCATGACATTTTTGCATACTTCATATGCATGTTCAAATCGAGACTGAAGATGATTAAAACAAGTCTAGGAGAATCAAAATATGATCTTGAGTTAATATCACCTGAATTTAAACATCATTTTATGAATAAATTTGAAGTACTGAACATCAATGATTGAAGACCAGATGATTTGTGGGATATCATCTATGAAGAAAGCAAAAAGACAGAAGAGAAAGAAAAAATGAAAATGGATGTCAGAAAAGACCCTGAAAATTACACTAGAATGTCAAGAAGCCAAAACAAGGGAAGGAGATAGTGGGTGTAAAAGAACTGAACAGAAGATTTCAAAGGGTAGCTAGGGAAGGTAAAGCAAAGTAGTATAACAGAATGTGCAGAGACCAAGAATTGGGGAATAAAAAGGAAAAAACTTGCTCAGCATTTCACAAGCCTCGATTCAAGCCTCGATTTGCAATACTTAGAGATACTATGGATAAAATATTGAATAATCTCAATATTTGTTCCCATTCCAAAGAAAGGTGATCCAACAGAATGGGGAGATAATCGTACAATATCATTAATATCACATGCAAGAAAGATTCTGCTGAAAATGATCCAAAACCGTTTGGAACAATATGTCAACAGAGAACTGCCAGATGTGCACGCTGGATTTATAAGCGGTCGTGGTACTAGGGATATTATAGCTAATGTTAGATGGATCATGGCAGAAAGCAGAGAATACCAGAAGAATGTCTATCTGTGCTTCATTGACTATGCAAAGGCTTTTGACTGTGTGGATCACAAAAAACTATGGCTGACTCTGAGAAGAATGGGAATCCCAGAACATTTGATTGTGCTAACGCGAAACCTATACTTGGACCAAGAGGCAGTCGTCAGAATAGAGCAAGGAGATACTACATGGTTTAAAATCAAGAAGGGGGTCCGTCAAGGATGTGTTCTGTCTCCATACCTTTTCAATCTGTTTGCGGAACAGATCATCAGAGATGCTGGGCTATACGAGTAGGAATGTGGCATCAGGATTGGTGGAAGAGTCATCAACAACCTGCGTTATGCAGATGGCACAACCCTGCTTGCTGAAACTGAGGAGGACCTGAAGCACTTGCTGCAGAAGGTCAAAGACTGCAGCCTTCAATACGGATTGAAGCTCAACATCAAGAAAACAAAGATTCTCACCACTGGGCCAACTGGCAGCAGCAGTATGGATGGTGAAGAGATTGAGATAGTTAACAGTTTTAGTTTACTTGGCTTCACAGTCAACACTCTTGGTAACAGCAGCCAGGAAATCAAGAGACGAATTGCATTGGGAAAGTCTGCTAAGAGAGACCTCTGTGGAGTACTGATGAGCAACGACATCAGGCTGGAGACTAAGGTGCGCCTGATCCAGACTATAGTTTTCACGATTACATGCTATGCATCGGAGAGTTGGACAGTGACTAGGGATGATAGATAATTGATGCCTTTGAGCTGTGGTGCTGGAGAAGAGTGTTGAACATACCATGGACTGCTAGGAGAACAAACAGGTTTGTCCTAGAGAGGGTGAAGCCATAATGTTCCCTGGAGTCAAGGATTCTGAAGCTTCGTCTAACAGACTTTGGGCATGTTGCAAGGAGGTACTGGTCCTTGGAGAGGGACATCATGTTTGGGAGAGTGGACGGGCGGCAAAGGAGAGGAAGACCCTTGATGAGATGGATCGATTCTGTGATTGGGGTGGTGGAAATGAGTGTGTTGGAGACAGCAAGGTTGAAACAGGATAGAGCAGCGTTTAGGCCTCTTGTACATAAGAATCACTATTAGTCATAAGCGACTTGATGGCACATAACAACAACAACAATCCTTGAAGAAGTGCAACCAAGAATGTTCCTTAGAATTGAGGATGGTGAGACTTTGTCTCATATAGTTTGTGCATATTATCAGGAGAGGTCAATTCCTGGATAAAGATAGCATGCTTGGTAAAGTAGGTCAGCGATAAAGAGGAAGCTATTTACTGAGATAGACTGACACAGTGGCTATAAAAATGAGCTCAAATATGACAATGATTGTGAGGATGGCACAGGACCAGCCAGTGTTTTGTTCTGTTGTACATAGGGTTGCTATGAGTTGGAACTGACTTGACAGCACCTAAAACCAACAGCCTTTTAGTTCACATGTCAATGTGAAAAAGCTGAACAGACAGTTTCAAAGCGCAGCTTGGGAGGACAAAACAAAGTATTATAATAGAATGTGCAGAGAGCTGGAATTGGAGAATAAAAAGAGGGAAACTCACTCTGCATATCTCAAGCTGAAAGAACTAAAAAAATAAATTTAGGCCTTGTGTTGCAATGTAGAAAGATGTTATCGGCAATGTATTGAATGACCCAGAAAGCATCAAAAGAAGATTGAGGGAATACACAGAGTCACTGTACCAGAAAGAATTGATTGACACTGAAAAATTTCAGGAAGTACCATATGAGCAAGACCAATGGTAATGAAACAGGAAGTGGAAGCTGCATTGAAGGCATTGGTAAAAAATAAGGCCCCAGGAATCGATGTGGTACCAATTGACTTGTTTCAATTAACAGATGCAGCCTTGGATGCACTCAACAGCCTATGCCAGGAAAACTTGAGGATGGCTGGCTGGCCAACAGATTGGAAGAAGTATATATTTGTTCCTATTCCCAAGAAGGGTGATCCAACTGAATGTGTAAATTATCAAATAACGTCATTGATTTCACATGCTAGCTATCAAACAACGTCATTGATTTCACATGCTAGCAAAATACTACTGAAGATCATTAAAAAATGGCTGGAACAGTCCATAGATAGTGAATTACCAGAAATTCAAGCAGGATTTAGAAGAGGCCGTGGCACCAGGGATATCATTGCTGATATCAGATGGATCCTGGCTGAACATAAGGAATACCAGAAGAATGTCTCTTTGTGCTTTATTGACTATGCAAAGGCGTTTGACTGTGTGGACCACGACAAGTTGTGGCTGACATTGAGAAGAATGGGAATCCCAGAGCACTTGATTGAGCTCATGAGGAACCTCTATCTGGAACAGGAGACTGTGGTGTGAACAGAGCAGGGGAGTACTGCATGGTTTGGAATTAGGAAGGGAGTGCATCAGAGATGTACGTATTCTCTCTTCATACCTGTTCAATCTATATGCTGAGCAAATTATCTGAGAAGCTGGACTCTATGAAGAGGCAGCAGGATTGGAGGGAGACTCATCAATAACCTGTGTTATGCAGATGACACAACTTTACTTGCTGAAACTGAGGAGGATTTGAAGCACTTGTTGCAGAAGATCAAGGAATGCAGCCTTCAGTATGGATTACATCTCAATGTCAAGAAAAAGATTCTTACCACTGTTCCAATAGGCAGTGTCATGATGGATGGAGAGGAGATTGAAACGGTTAACAGCTTCATCTTGCTTGGATCCACAATTAACACCCTTGGTGCCAGTAGTCAGGAAATTAGGAGATGCATTGCAGTAGGAAAATCTATAGTTAGGGACCTTTCCAAATTATCGATAAGTAATGATGTCAGTTTGAGGACTAAGGTGCATTTGATTCAGTCCATGCTATTTACAATTACTAGCTATGTATCTGAGACCTGGACAATGAATAAAGATGACAAAATGAATTGATGCCTTTGAGCTGTGGTGTTGGAGAAGAGCCCTGAACATTCCATGGACAGCCACGAAAATGAATAGCTATGTCTTGGGGAGGGTGTAGCTGGAGTGCTCTTTGGACATATTGCTGGGAGGTGCTATTTCTTGGAGAGGGACATGATGCTGGGAAGGGTAGAGGGTTGGCAAAGGAGAGGAAGACTCTCAACCAGGCGGATTGAAATGGTGACTGCTGCAATGGGCTCTAGTGTGTCAGGAAGTGTGAGGATGACACAGGATAGGACAAGATTCATATCTTTTGTTCATAGGGTCACTATGAATTGTACTTGAATTGATGGCACCTAACAACAACAGCAAAAATCCTGAATCTCTGCTCAACAAAAAGACTACCCTATCTATTCAGTTGCCAGGAAGATAACTATCTGAGTTTGTGTGAAACTGATGATTATTATTTGATGGTTAATATTTGCACTTATTATCTTACTTACTGTTTATGAGAAGCCTAGACACAGAGATGAAATCATTTTGTCCAAAGGTCACACAGCTAGGAATCAAACCCAGGCTATCTAACTCCACATCTCACGTCAAAAGTCCAGTATATTAATTTCATTACTTTTCCCAAGTGTGTTTGAATTTCCAAACATATAATCTGAAGGATTGAATTTCTAAACTCATTAAATTCACTGAGGTTCTTGTTTTGGTTTGTCTGGAGAGAGGGGCAGTGTGCTTGGACAGCTCAGAGAGATCACATGAGTATCACTTCTAGCTTTATCTGTAGGACTTGCCCTTCTCCTGGAAGTCTTTATCAGTTTCTCTGTCCTGTCTAAGTTGTATGTGTTAAATAAAATTTGTTGGATGAGTAAGGTCTCTCAGTATGGGATGAGGCCATAGCTTTCCTATCATATATACTAAGCAACCCTGCTTGTATTCTTATTTGGTTCCCCCAAAAAGGTTGTGTTTCATTGTGGAATCCAGCTCAGGTATAGGTACCCAGCATGTGTTCAGCAAATAAATATTAACTGATTCCTTTTAATAGGGAAAAATATAGGCCAGACCCAAGTTCAAGTCAATTAGTGAACAAACTGTTAATTAAGAGGTAGAATATTGGCACATAGCCCTCTAACCCCTTTGATAGGTTTGCAGTTTCTTTGTGCCATACCATTATCTCATTCTTAACGTATCTCCTTCCTTCAGATGGCTTTTTGTCTCATGGAATAAGGGCTAAAGTTGTTTTGCATAAATTTTATTCTTAATCAGTAATTTTCATTCACTCACATCTTCTACTGAAATGGCGTAAAGGTTTTGCCAAAATTAGCATACCAGACGTCATAGTCCCAGAATGATGATGGAGCTAGACTGCCATCAAATTCAGAGTTGGAAAAGCCCCCATAACTCATTGCACCTCCTCTCCTAATATTCCTGTGAAGAAACTGAAGCCCAGTGAGAGGAAAGGGCATGCTGAAGGTGATACAATTTCTTCATTTATTCACTCAGTCATTTATTCATTCAGCAAATGCTTATTGAATCTATGTGATGTATCCTGCATCGTGCTGGATGCTAGAGATACAATGGTGAGCAAGAGATGTGTAGTGTCTGGTGAAGAATATCAGATACTTAAAGATTCTCCCCTTGGCATGAGTAATCCAAGGCAAGGTATATAGATGCATGAATGGGTTGTACTAGATTGGTGTAACTGAGACCTTGTATGAAGATAAAGTTCATCCTTGGCCTGCAATTTTATTTTCCACATCCCTGTACCTAATGCTGTGCTCACTGCTTTACAATGCTAGCTCAATTATTAATGTATGTGAAATGAAACATTCAGGAATTGACTCCTCTTCTTTGTATGTCACACCTACAGACCAAAACCTTCACCAAAGCATTAACCACGTATGTCGTGAGTGCCAGCATTTCAGATATGTCCATTCAAAACTTGGCTGATCCAGTGGTTATCACTCTGCAGCACATTGAAGGAAACCAGGTAAAGATATCCGTTTTCATTTCAGAATAAAAAGACCTCAGAAACCGTTCAGAATTTTCCTGTCAAAAATAAATGGCTACTTAATAGATGGGATTCTAAGACTTAATGAAGACTGTCCCGTTCCAGGTAGCAGAGGTATGTTTTAGCTGGGGCTATCTGGAAACATGCCTCATCCTAAAGGGATAACTAATGGTAGACATTCTAGCACTGTGACAGATTGGCAGGGGAGAGGCTTGGGGCGGGTTGATATTTTGGCTCACCCATCACACTAAATGGTATTTATTCCCATTTGGTTTTGAGTGAGGCAAACAACTTAATTTAAAATAATGGACCATTAGTACTCTTTGAGTTTCCAAGAAGAACATTAATGTGTACTAATTATCAGCAAAAGACTAAAGCCACAGTCATCTGGCATAACACACAACATACATTACTAAATGATTAAATTTCACTTTCTTATACAAATGAAGTGCTTTTCCATTCTTTGATATTAATATGTATCCAGTGTGAAGACTTAATATTTTCCTTCATTCCTAATCTAAAGGAGCATATGTTACAACTTATTTTTCACTGGTTTTGATTCAAAGAGGGAAGAAGGAAGATTGAAAGAGGGAAATTTTTAAAATGAGAAGTCACATTCACACACATATGTATGTATGTATGTATGTATGTATGTATGTATATGAGTATATATGTATATAAGTGTATACATGTATAAGTATAAATATACAGAGACAGAGAGAGAGAGAACAAGC